CTCACTACACTAGCGCACGTTTAATTTTATTATTGTATAACAACAATTAAAAAAAAAAACTAGAAGAAGCTCTCATGAGAATACATTTTGCGTCGTGTAAAAGTAACATCAACACAGCAATAAACTTAAGTCCTAGGACATGAAACTATTCTTCTGGATTTAAATTGCGTCTACAGTACAATTAAATATTAGACAAAACTGGTTGATGACTGTACCACCTCAGTCAACCGTGACCATGGGGCTTGTAAAGGGCCCGAAACGGTGGTTTGTTTGAAAAAACAAATATACGCGGTTTAAATCCGGAAAAATAGTTTCATTTCCTATATGTAACAACCGCGAAAACCTAAGAACTCCATAAACTTAAGACCTTTTTAAAAATCAAAGATTATCATAATTCATAAGTTCATGATGTGTTTCTTATACACATGTATGACTGATGAAAAGAGTCCAGTTTATTTATAAATAAAATATTATAATACTAGTTACTTTGGTAACATCATTACGTTACAGCTCGTCCACAATATGCGTAGCCTTTGCAAATGAGATTTATAGCATAAAACTGCGCATATCCGACAATTATATGCTAATCAGATGTTACAGGCCGGGCTGGCAACTCATGTAGGTATAGTATTTATATACTACATTTTATAATAAGCATTATTCGACATAAACTGTGGTATATCTATAAGGTCTTTCCAAACATTTTAAAGGGCGATTTTGTAAGAAAAAATACCTTCGGTGTAAGGCACTTCTGTGGAAACCAATCGGAGAACGGAATGTAAATAGACATAAATTGCCACTGCAAAAAAAAAAATTATAAATATTCTTTTCACCGCACTAGCTCGTAAAGGCTTTCTTTCTCATTAGAAATCTGCGCGCAAAAGCGTTTCTTCCGCGCTAGCGTGGAAAAGGTTTTTGAAATTCGAGCTTGACGATGGACTGTGGTGCACCTAACATTTTGTTTCGATGAAAAAAAAAACATAATGACACGTTCAACTATGCGATTCGTCGTACATTATTCATGTAATATAAATCCTTTGGGATATTTTATTCTTATTATTATTGTTTGCATCGAAATTGACAACGATAACTAATTTTGTTTATTAAAAATGATTTGTTATAGTATAACTGTTTTTCTTTCATCTAAGATTTTCCTCGCTATAGTGAGGTGAAAAGTTGTGTGTTTCCCTCGGCAGCAAAGTTGTTTTGCGTCTCGTGCTTTAAAACCCTCGCTACGCTCAGGATTCTGTTTTTGAACCCCTCAAGCACTCGAGTCAAACGACAACTTTGCAGTCTTGCCATATCAAATAACTATTTTCTTATTGAGTTGTTTTTATAATTGACAAATAGCTCCACTAGTTTGCTATAATTATTAAATACAATGATTGAACGGAGCATATATTAAGATTATCATTTCCTATGTTCAAAAACTACATTAAAAATATTTTGATTGAAAAGTCATATTACAAAATTGAAGACTACGTGTTAGATAAAGATGTATGGAAAGACGACGTGGCTCCAGAATCCACACAAATTTGATTCAAAGTGTATTCCATAGCATTTAAGTTTATTTGAAAAGAGCAATCCCTAGTGTTTCTTGCTCGTTCTTCTCAGGGAAGTCAGTGTAGTGAACGAGGAGTAGCTTAAATATGACACTTTCAAGTGTAGATTTATTTTACCTATGGAATAAATGATTCTAAAAAAAAGAACAAAAAGAAAAATTTTAATCCTGCGGGATTCCGTCCCCGTCGCTCTTCCATCTGAGCTACAGGTCGCATTAACGTAGTCGACGAAATTCTTCTATGTGTCTGTTATAAGATTCTGTGCATTGAGTTTTCGACTTTCTTGTCATAATATTGCTGCTGTCGCAACGTATATAGATAACTTTTTATTGATTTTTCAACTACACAGTGTTCATTCGCTTAATTATGTGAAAGGATACATATTTTATACAATACAATCAAATATTTTATGCGTCGAAACTCCAGAACACATTATATGGAATATTTTGTTTGGCATTTTCAGGAGAATCTACTTATGATAGAATTATGCCTGAGTATTCTGTTTCGGAAAGAAACACACAGGTTTCATCACAATGTTTTTGTCCATAATAACTAAGAGGTTTGCTACTAAATGTTCTCAAATGTACGTAACTTTTTAAAGTCGTAGATGCATCCAGCCAAAGGCATTCGAACCGTCAATCTCGCGATTGAGTCGCAACCATTCTCCCACTGACCTACTGCTAATTATCAGTACAGTTTAATAGACATTTTGTGTTCAAATTTTTGATCCTTCATTCTCCAACTCACAATGCTCTTGTGTAGAAACCAACAAAGGAAATACTCTGAGGTTCTTATAGCTAGAAGATAGGCAAAAGATTGATCTACCTGTATGCTTATTAATTTCAGCTTTAATACAATCTCTAATTCGCCTACTACCCGTTGCGTCAACATATGATCATCATCATATCCGCCGGTAGACATCCACTGCTCAACATAGGCCTCCCCAAAGATTGCCAGACTAGCCAGTCGGATGCGACGTGCATCCATCGGTTATTCGCGGCCCTTATCACGCCATCCGTCCATCTAGTAGGGGGCCGTACCACTGAACGCCTTCCGTTTCGTAATCTCTATTCGAGAACCTTTCTGCCCCAACGGCCGTCAATTCTACGAGCTATATGCTTTGCTTGCCCGGTGCCACTAATATTATAAGTGTGAAAGTCTCTGTCCGTTCCGTTTTCATGCCTAAACCACTGAACCAGTATATCAGTATATATCTAGGTCACATCTATCTCTAACCCAAAATTCATCATTTTGGGTTAGAGATAGATGTGACCTTTAAGAAGGACGCAGGCTGCTTTTTGTCGTAAAAGTAATACTTAATAATTGTAACTTTTTCGTTGAAAAGAAAACCGACCCATTTGCTTAACGGCTTTTTTCAATTTCCATGGGATCCCCTCATCAGGTTCTGACTTCTTGGTGACAATGGGTCTGTTACGGACTCCTTTGTACGTTTTATTTTTTCTTCTCTGGTTGTCATGGTTACGGTGATTTGTTGATTACACGTATTGTTTCAAGTGAAAAGTCGATTTTCATTTGTGAAAAATAATTAGTAATTTGTGATAGCCAAAACGAACCCAGAACAGCATCTGGGACCACCTCGAGAGTATACCCTTTCAAACAAAAGAAAGATTTTCTAAATCGGTCCACAATTGGCGGCGATATCTGATCATACATACAGCCGAACGTATAACCTCTTCCATTTTTATAACGTCGGTTAAAAAGGATGAAATAGGGGACACAATTTTGTATGAAAAACCATAAAACTAAGAAAATTACTACCTATAGTACAGTAGGCTCTTATGCAGACGAAGTCGCGGGCACCAGCTAGTCCTACATATATTTGCTTATTTACGGTGTCCGTGTCATCGTAAAAATATCTATCAAGAAATTATAATTTAAAAAAGTTAAGTATTCGAAATGAAAATGATTTCTCATTCATATTTCAAAGTCAAGATACTCACAATGTAAATACTAAAGCATTAGAAATTTAATTGGCGTTTGTAAGTGTGGTGCAGCACGCAAGCTCCTGGACAGTAGCTAAACGGTTGAAGTTGATTTGAACGAGCCTTCTAGCCGTATTTGATAATTCAGATACGTTTTAAGAAAATGCGTTTGGTTTTGTTTTCACCGACTAACGCTGACACAAAATTTATTTGACATCTTTACTTTCAGAAAACAAATATTCGAAGGAAGATCGGAATGTATCCCAGAAAAAAAAACATTTGTGTCATAACAAATTTAAAAATGACAATAAATTATGCAAACGTAATTTTTAGTTATGAAAATTCTACAACTACGCAAAAAGTGTGATTGTAAAATAAATAAACTCTAAATAGTTCAATTTCTCAAACACAACATTATAAATTCATAGATACAAATCATTTTACCGCATACCCGAATTCATTTAACTCGAAAATACGAATGGATAAATAACTAAACTGTTTAGTTCAAATTTATAATAACATAAGATGGCGTGTGGGATTTAGAATGATTAAGAACTATGAAAAACTTGCCATCATAAAACTCAACTTGAATATTTTGTAATATTGCATAGGTCACAAAAAAAAACAAATGCTTTTAAAAAACTGAGAATAACCTTTGTTAGAGTCCAACGGACATGACGCCAATTTAAACTACATATTTAAATAATTATACCCTTTTTAAAACTATTTAGATACTTTTTTAATTGTTTCGACTTTGCCCTATTTCGTTCGGAGCGAGTCGGACCGTCGTCGTCGGTCGGTCGGTCGTCGTCATCACGTGATCCCAATAACGGATACGACAACAGCCATCAATTACCACACGTTTGATTTACACCACCCGATCGCGTTCCTTTCGAATCGAAACGCGTTGATTGGGCTATATTTCATCAAGTTTAATGGCCTAAAAACTAAAATTTTATCCTTTCATAATTGGTAATAAAAACCGCAAAAAAGCGACGTTAGGTTTAGTTACTGGCTATTGAAGCGAAAGTGGAGCAACCTGTAATAAACATAGCCTTATCTACATAGTATTTTGTACTTGGAAAGTAATACTTGTTTTCAGCGGAATAGAGTCGAAATTGTCATTTCATTGACAAGTAATCAATCGACGACCTCTGATGATGCTCAATTTACTTTTTTTTCATTACCAAGCGCATCACAGTAAATACATAGTGCTACCAGGGCAGCAGAAACGGTGAGAGATTGCCGCGAACTGCGGCGCCAAAGAGATATACCGTTTTGAGGTCACTCAATACCTATACCGCTCACTACATAGCGAACATTATATTTATGTGTGAGTGTATAGGTGAATGGAACTATTCGAATTTTTTAAAGTGTTGAGAAATCGCTCTCTATGTACTAAAGTTGCGAGGTCTTTCTCTCGATTTCTTTTATTTTATGATGGCCTGGTATTACTTTTATAAAACTCAGTAAAAAAAAAATAAAGGAAACTTACCAAGGTCGTGCATGCGTTGGTTGTCCTTTGGCCTAGCGACCGCAATGCCAACAGGAATTGATCCTAGGCATTAAAACAAAATTATTTAATGTATTGTCAATATTTATAAGATTTTGATTAACCAGCTTGAACTAAAAATCATTGAATTGGAAGACGGAGTTAAATGTCGTTTGGCAAGTGAAGGTGAAGTTTAAGCCTCTATGTCTGGTCTTCAAAAACATGCCAGTTTTCTACTTTACCTCCGTAAAGTTAGAATAACAATATGGGCTAAATATAATACCAGGACATTATGCACTAAGTATTTCGATACAACTTAACTACATTTATTTTATTTTATTTGATGCAGTCTCCATCAGCAACATCAAAGTCAATATACCAGGACTACATAGTACTAAACAAACCATTATTCAAAGAAGCAGGTATGGCAGGTGGCTCAGGCTTGTTCCCTGGTGATGCCTGCTCCAGCTTGACAGCCACTAGTTCCGAAACGTGCAGATGTTGAGGTTCTCTTTTCACTTGCACTTGAACGTTCTGGCCGGTCACGCCGAGCCAGGTCACTGGGTTTGTACGACTGCATCCACCGTCTGTGTGGATCACCTATGAGAACGAAAATATTAAAATCGTAGCCTGGGGTGAATTTCTCGGAAAGGTTTTGTATCCATGTACAAGAAACGTAGTAAAGGACCATCTCGCAAATCAGCAAATATTGCAAAGCTAGACTTTAGCGATCAATAAATAACTAAGATGAAAAATAAATCGTGTTCGCCATTGTCAGCCCGGCTTCCATGTATAGCTAAAACAAAATAATCGTTAAAAGTAAATGGAAACAAACCTTTTTCGGTGAGTTAGTAAGACAGGTATTGCACGATCGTTTGGCCTGCTCGGTCTTGATGGTGAGCGGCTGCATCATACCGAGTCCATCGATGATCTGCCTCTGGTCCGGGCAGCATAGCTGTTCCGTCATGCACTTGCCCAGTTTCGCCTCCTCCATTTTGCTGCTCTCCCTGTGAACCACAAATTGCATCATCCCAAGTACATCCTAAACATAGACTTGCAATCAAGTACCATTTACCCTGTATTTTTATTAATATGGATTTCCGAAAAGTAACGCCTGAATTTAACAATTAAATATCTGTTTACAAAATGGCAACCCCTTTCTTACTCATTCTCTATAAGAAAATCTGCCTTACTAATGAGTACCCCTAGTATTGTTAAAATAACTAAACCATTTCAAGTATTTTATATTGCTTACCTATGCAATTTGTGGTAAACAAATAAATGTACTTTCTTTTTTTCAATGAAGTAATTTTTTTTTGTGTGTAAGCAATAAAGTGTATATCTGTCCATTTGTTCGGATAATCGCGTATAGTTGTTTTTTTTAAAATGCAATCATTGAGCCCTTTACATTCAGCCATGGGACCTCGAAGGAACCCGAAACATACGGGATTTAGATCTGAGAAAACAGCTTCATTTTAATGACACTTACTTTTCCGTGACGAGCACTCTCTGGCTGCAGTTGACGAGCTCCAACTGCAGCGGCGAGTACTGCGAGTTCGACGGCGGTGTGGGCACGCCGAACGCCGACAAAGAGGTCGTAAACAGACTCTCTGTCGTCACTGGTGACAAGTATCGTGATTAATATCGTAAATTTGCAGCAAAGATATGTTTTTCGGGAGAAATCTATAGAATTAATGAAATTATGGTCAATATTTGGCCATCGCCATGCACTACGAGTATGTTTCTTTTTAAATATCAAGTGACGGGACGAATAAGTCGTGCGCCTGGTTTAAAACGACACGCCTGTCCATAACAGTTGCACTACCACTTCAATTTGAGGGGCATGCCGCTGGGCCTGTCACCCTGAGACATAACTTGACAAGTCCCAAAGGAGCACTACTGCTACTAAATGTATAGAAATTGTAACTGTGTCAGAGACTTTTCGATGTGTCTCGTTGAAGCCTCCGGTGACTAGAAGGCGTACAGCTATTACCGCCTAAAATACATTTAGCTTTCCAGAGGGGAAAGGTTGCTAGACTCCTGGGTAACCAGCCCCAGGATACACGATTATTTTTTTTACGTTTAGGGGAGTTGCCTCACTTATTGACACAGATTCGATAAGTGAGGCGATAAGCCGTGCCGGTCAGGAAAATCTTTATTAAAATGTAATAAGAGCGAAAATGACGTTGTGCATCTCGCGCAACCCCTTTTCGCTCTTACTGCATGGACATAACGGTTTTTCTGACTGGCTCAAGGCGTTTCCGTGTGAATAAATGTGGTGAATCCTCAATTCGAAGATTTAAAGGTGAAATATGTCCAAAAGTATAACTATTACCATGTTACTTTATTATTAAATGTGAGATGTTTTAGCACAAAAGTGAACACGTAGAGCAGTACTTTTACTGAAACTACAAATTAGTATTTATTATGCCCAGATTACAAATCAGAATCAGAGATATAAAACACTGAGAGTGGGATCCCACTCGATGTGCTTGATGCTAAAGTGCGCTGGTAAAACCCCAGTCATCAAACACAAGTTTTAATAAAAAGTGTATGTACATACATTAATAGTACTTCAAATCACATATAATATTTCACTTTAAACATCGATAGCTGGTAAACAGTAAGCATTTTCGGTTCAACAATAAACAGAAGCGAGTGAGCGAACATAACAATAAGCGCTGTATTAAACGAATGTTCGGTGGATAAGCGTGAAACGGCACGGGCGTGCTGTTCCGTGAACCTAAGAGTTATACTTTTATTTATTGTAATATGTTGTAAAAAATATATGAAAGTCGATTTGTTATTGAAAGCAACATTGGACAACATAAAATCATTTTGATTTTATAGCGGTTTTGGTTATTTTCTTTGTAACTTTGCAAGTTATTAATAAATTTTAATTCTATTTATTTTATTTTATTTTACGGGTCTGTTTATGGTTCGATCGCAGATGGGCTCAAGAAAAGAGATGTCTTTCGGTCTTCTAGAAACTTCATGACATAAAACAAAAAGTATATACGCATCTACGTTAATAGGTACTATTGTATGGCACAATAACCCTAGAGGCATCATTAAAAAGATAATTAATATTGACAGGTTTTACAGGATACACAGTAAGGGTTAAGATTAGTTTCACTCCAAAGTCCATTTAGAAAATGAGTCATAAATAATAGAGTTCAATTAACTGTTTTTTTTATATATACATATATTTGAATTAAGATAGGGAAGGTGCCCCTATATCTTGCGCTCACAAGTTATTGTGATCTACTTTTAGCAAAGTTTATAAACAAAAATTATATTCGACGAATGCTTGACCGCAAACTCACTTGGGGGTCGATTCTGAACCTTACGATCAACTGCCTCCGTGGCCGAACGGTTACCATGCCGGACTGTCACGCAGAGGTCCCACGGTTCGATTCCCGGGCCGGGAGAAATATTTGTATGGCCTACAATTATTTCTCTCGTGAGTTTGGGTGTAATTTGTGGTTGTCTATATGTGTGTCCATGGCACCCGCGACACAGGGTTTCACTAGTGCGGGGCTATGTTGAGTGTGTGCGTTATTTATTTATTATGTATTATTATTTACGATAACTCAGTTGTCGACCGATTCGATTTGATTTCATTTTTATTCACAACACCCGAATCGAACGTCAAACTGTCGAATTCGAAACCAAACCGAAATGACGTCACACCCGTACGATTATTCGAACTTCTCGACCGGCAAAGGCTACAAACGTTATTCAGAACACGGTTATCGAACGTCCTATTGTTTACAAAGCAAGAATATAATATAGAAATATCTTATTATTTTAAATAAAGTCTGGATTTTGTTCAATTTTATTAATTTATTTTAATGCAAGACAAACGCATTCCTATATTTTAGGCCTTTAAAGTCTTAAAAATGTACGGACAAGGGCACATCAGACTACACATTTTTGTTCGAAAATAGCCTACAGTGCAACGGAACAAGATACGTCAATGTGTAGCTTGATGTACTGGGAGGATTTTCGTTTTTCTTATAATCTATTTCATCGACTAACTCCGTAAGCGCTGTTAGATGACGATATCGTATCCGAATCCGAATTGAACGTTTAACTCGAATGTTCTGAATAGGTCAGAAGCGCCCTTCGTTTAGGAACGATATACAATCGAACGATTCGGTTAAAATGTCGAAGAGTTCTGAATCGGAGTCCTGATTTGCCCTCCTTGACTTAAATAACGCATTTGCATTTTCGGTGGCTTTCGAGATATTGGCCTCTAAGCCTAAAGTTATCTTTTGTAAGTAAAAATTATATTAGATTTTGCTTAACAATAAAACTGAAACTAAATTATATATAAAAAAACGATTAGAGAAGGTTGTAGACCTAATTTCGCTGATCCTAGATATGCTAATAACTAAATTTTGCTGAAAATGTCGATTAGGTTAGTTATGATACGATAGTATATGATAGTAGTGATATTACGCTGCTCGAATTCAAATTTTTCCCGTACTAATACGGTTTATTTTGCTTGGGTCGAGCAGCAGGGACACTGGCTTTATTTCAGATTTGATTTTTTTTTAAAAGAAATCAAAGCCATTTAAATGTTACTATACAGTATAGTACACGTGTCCTATTTAGTTCAGTTGATATAAAAGAAATGGTATATGTAAAGTACCTATTGACTATAACTGTTTTCTTATAAAATTTTGAGGTGAGTTTGTTTTTTCTATCGTGAAAATTTTTAGGAATTGTGTTTTCACACAGTATATATGTACCTATATATTTTCCAAAGTAATTCAACACTCACTAATGCGAAGTCAATCAAAGCCATTTGAGGTTGTATCGACTATTAAGAGACGATGTGGCCTACTATGTTACGCGTTTTCCTACAAAATGGTTATACACTGTAAGCCTTGAATAGCCCTAAATTGTAGCTTTTCGAAAACAGAGATGCGCCGGCATGTATTTCATTCTTTTGCCGTTCGCATCAGGAAGGATGAAACGTTGTTAAAGATTTTGCTTACACATTTTTAGTGAAATCCGTTTATTTATATTACTTTAACGACTTTAACAGCAAAACAGTTCCTTGTTTAGTAGGTATCTACTGTCTCGTTGATCGCAAGTTCCCCGTTTCTCATTAACGTAAAAACAAAGCCACATGTGCGCGGGAGTCGGCGAGTGACACTTCGTAATTAAGGTCCCTCGGGGCGGACGGGAATAGCTCCGTTGACTTATGAGTTAGTTATAACCCGAGTAATGGGAAGAGACTGAACGAACAGAGTCCAGTTCGAACGCAAAGTGGAAGGGTTACCAGCTTAACAGGAATTTCGGAAATTGTGTTAGGAGTTGGTGGTGTTAACACAACAGAAAGACATTTGATACGAAGTATAAGTTTCACAAATACATTGCCGACCGTAGGGGATAAGATCTTTGTTTATTTATAGATATATCTAGCCAAGCGAGAAACTAGCCTCCTCAACAGTTGCAGTGCCACTCAGAGCTTTAAATCGCAAAGAATTTAGGGTCATTGTCTAAGATATAAGTTGACAAGTCCCACATGCCTGTACCAGTTCACCAGCACTCTTACCCTTCAAAATCAGAACGCAGTAAAGCACATATTAGTGTAGGCGGTAGATTAGGTATGGTGGTAGTACTTCCCTGGATGAACTCTTTCACAAGGATCTAACACAGCTACAGGTACTAAATCCTAATTAATACCTTGAATAAAACATTATGTTAATTTGTAAGCATACAATTTACGAGTTTAATATATGATATTTATTGTTGTTATACAGGTTTATTTTAATTAGTACCAGTGTTGTTGTTCTAGAATGTTTTAGAATTCTCATTGTGGTTTTGCTCAGTCATGTATGAGGTACGTATTTGTTAACTATTTTGTTCTAAACTTACTAGGCCGAATATCAGCGAAGGTTGTGGTAGTCCATTATAGTCCTGTGTAGCCAAATCATTGACTCAAACGACATGTTTCTTATTGTTTTGTATTGTCTTCTATTGTATTGCATTTGAACTCCAGTCATTCATTTATTTGTAAGTAGTTTTTTTTATAACTTCAATCGCAATTAAAATACAAATACCAGGGTCACATAAAACAAAAGCATTCGAATCGAAACACGAATGCAAGGAATTAAGTTGATTATAACTATAAATGTATAACAAACCCGTCCGTCTGTTCGTTATAGTACGTATGTAATCTGATGGTATCTCTCGCTTCTGTCTGCCTCCGGGCTGACATTTTGACACACGGTTAAAAAAAAAATGGTTGAAAAAAATGTGTATCTTTCTTTGTAGAGTAAAAAATATAGAAAGCAACCGGTAAGACGGGTTATGGTCCTTTAAAATTAGAATTTACTTATTAAAAATATTTCTGGCCCTAAAAATATTTAAAAACAACCTGAAAAAAAATCAAATTTATTAAGACTTAATATGTTTCTTAACAAAGACCTTCCATTACTAATGAATTATTGTGAAAATCTCTAGATGATAAACGAATTTTATTGAACCTACAGACCGCCCGCGAACCTATTGGACAAGGAAATAACACACACAGAGAGGATAATAAAAATGTACATATCGTAGCCAGTCATGTATATGGAGACTAAACGGAACGCAAGCGCGC